CAAGTGGTAATGGTCTACAAGTGGTAACGGTCCGAGAAAGAGAGGATAGTGGATTATGGATTAGTCTATATAATGAGGAGAATTTGTAGAAAGCAAGACTTAAATCCATAATGCCACATGGGAAAATTTTGCAAGGGCAAGATAAGATTTTATGTAGTATCTTTTAGTCTTATAAGTAGTATCTTTTAACATCATATAACCTTGCCCCTTGCATTACATCCTAGCAAGTAGATAGTTTTTAAATTCCAAACTTTTGTTATTATTTGTTTGCTTTGGTCGTGTTGTCATCAATCACCAAAAAGGGGGAGATTGTAAGAAAAATGGACCCTTGGCCCATTTACTTTGGATTTTGGTGTTTGATAATCAACACAACCAAATTGGACTAATAAATTTGCAAGTGATTGTTTTGTAGTTCAATAGGATGTAAGACATGACTTGGACGAAGGTGACGTGATGGTCCGATGATCAATACCATAAGCAAGACCTTAGAAGCACAAGAGAAGATCCAAGATATCAAGCAAAGTCCAAGCACGAAGATAGTAACCAAGCCGTACGCAAGATCGCGAAGAAACGAGCTCACAGAGGTGACCGGACGCTGGACCGGACGCTGGAGGAAAGTGACCGGACACTCCGATCAAGAGGCTCGGGCAACAGGCGTGACTGGACGCTGGACCGGACGCTGGCGACAGATCGACCAGACATAGGACAGCAGAGTCCGGTCGAGTACAGAAAGGTTCCAGAGCGGCTAAAATACGACCGGACACGTCCGGTGGCATGTGATCGGACGCTGGCAGCGTCCGATCAGTTGATCGTGGCTCCAACGGTCGGGACGACCGGACGCGTCCGGTCAGGACGTGATCAGCGTCCGGTCAGTAGTAGAAAAGCGGGATTTCGTCCCTAACGGCTACTTTCTCAGTGGGGCTTATAAATAGACCCCAACCGGCCATTTGAAGTGTGTGGAGCTGAGGAAACATATCAAGGGTGTTGATACATCATTTTAGTGATCTCCACTTGCATAGTGCTTAGTGATTCATTAGGTGATTAGCGTAGGTGCTTTTGCGAAGTGCTTAGGTTGATTAGACCACCACTTATACGCTTACTCTAGGTTTAGGCCTAGTGTTTAGTGAGGTTTGCATACCTCTTATCACTCGGTGCTTGCGCGCACCATTGTTGTACATCGGAGGGGCTTGTAGTCTTGCGAGATCACACCAAACGCGTTTGTGGTGTGGCCGTCACCGTGTACCGGAGGGAACAAGGTCCACGGCGTTTCGGCCGGAAGCTTGATAGTGAAGACGGCGGGGGGCATCTAGGAGAGGCTTACTGGAAGGCACGTCGGAGACGCACTTGCGCGTGGGAAAGGCACAAGGCTATCCACGGAGTTACCCGACCGGGAGCTTGGCCCTTGCGAGGGATTCCTTGCGAGGGGCTTCAACGAGGACTAGGGGGAAGCTTGCGCGCGTCTCGATACCTCGGTAAAAATACAGGAGTTGTCAACGGGAGTTTGCATATCTCTACCTTGCTCTTTAGCTTCCGCATTTACATTGATTGTATTACTCCTTTTGCGGTAGAGATAGCAATACAGTAGCAAAACCGTAGTTGCACATTTAGATAGTTTATTTTTTTCATAGGTTTTACTAAGGTTAGAAAAAGAGACCATAATTTAGAGTTAGATTTTTAAGTTGCCTAATTTACCCCCCCCCCCTCTTAGGCGTCACGGTCCCCTTCACCGCTATCGTACGTGGCATGGAACTAACAGATGGGACCCACATGCCAGCGACAAGGGTCCACCTTAAAAAATCACATCTTTTTTATATGATCCCAGATGAAGATGATTTTTATATGAAAATTGTAGCTTTCGATTAGATCTACAACTTTATAGTTTTCATTCTTTTCATTAGAAATCATTAAGGCGCTAAAAATAATATAAAGTTTCAACAACATATTAATCACGTATCGGGCTTGCCGCCTTAGAAAAATCATATCTTTTTTCTTGTATGGTGTCGAACAAAGATACATTGCATATGAAAATTGTGGCTTCTGATGAGATCTACAAATTTCTAGTTTTGAGTTTTGTCATTTAAGGTCATTAAGATGCTCAAAAAATAATATACTTGACGAAAATTGTGTCTCTTAATGAAATCTACAAATTTCTAGTTTTGAGTTTTATCATTTGAGGCCACTAACATGTAGGATAGCGGGTCGACCATGTAGGATAGCGGGTCGAGTAAATTCCTGTTTGACCTAGATAGGACCCATTAAATGCATGAATTTTAGAAATCTAGATGACATCTTCGCATAACTTCGAGGACTATCGGTGAATTTTACTCCTAGTTTTACTTTTGCAGCCACGGTTGTAGTGGCAGCATAAAAAAAACCTTGTAGTGAACGGGCTCAGAAACGTTCGTATGCTCTCAAAGAGAATAGAGAACAAACATTAACCATAAGAAACTGAAGTTTTAATGGATACGTATCCATGTTTGCTGACTATGGGGACCGAGATACCAGTCAACCGGGTCAGCTACAACTACAAACAGTTCTGCGAAATTGCTCTGGTGAGAATTTGGGGAGGACGGGTCGAATACGTGAGAGTTGGGAGCAAACAGTTTATAAATTATATAACCTTGCAGAAAACACCATTAGATATTGGATAAGACGACCATATGGTACGTACTAGTAGACTGTGCATCAGAAAAGGTCAAAAGAAGGCGCAGTTGGCGGGCGAGGGTATATTGCCGCTTGCAGTTGCATGCCCACCGATCTCCTCTGCCGTCGCTCTCCAAGCACCTTCAGTTTGACCTCCCGATTTCTTATCATTTCCTGCACAGGCTTACGAGCGTGATCTACACGCCAACTACCTCCGTCTCTATCAGCTTCATTGCTTCCCGAGTTCCTCCTATGCCTACGAGAAAGAAGCGTGGGCGAATTCCTCTGTGTTTCCCAGCTTCCTGTTCACCTTGGACTCGCAGGGAGTCCAGCGTCAATTAACCCCCCTGCTTCAATCAATTGACATCTTCGCTGAATCGCTGGGCCTGTGCCGCCTCCCCATGCCCGCCGTCCCTGCCTCGCTGCGCCGTCAAGCTGCCAGCCAAGAGTCTAATTTTTTCAATGAAAAGTTTGCGTTTGATCGGTTTCGTTTCTAGGAGCTGGGCGAGATGTTCTTGATTCGAAAAGGGAGGAAACGAGAGGCTCTGTTCCTGTCGCGATTGTTGGAGAATCTCGCCGTAGTTTGAGGCGGTGAGGTGGAGGCGACAGAGAAGACGAGACAAGAAGCCACCCCGAGCTGAGCCCCGCCGATGTCTTGCTTCCGCTGCTTCAGCAGCAGCGAGACCAAGAGGGGCACGGGCGAGAAGCGTCGGGCGGCGCCGGCGTCCCCGGCGACCGCCTCGTTCCCGTCCACCGTCTCCACGGGCGCGCCCTCCAACCTGACCTTCTCCACGGCGTCGTCGGCCGTCGGCACGAGCCACTCGCCCACTCCGAGGACTCGAGGGCCCGGCCCTGGGCGGGGCGAGAGGGACAACCGTCCCAGGCCTAGGGAGTCGGATGGGACCCTCCCAAGTACGCAGACACCAGTAATAGTACTGTGGTGGTCGGATCCAGTGACATAATCTGTCGGTACTCTATGAGATAAATTTTTTAAGTCTAACTAATCCGTCGTTAATATATATTTATTGTAACACCACATTGTCAAATCATGGACTAATTAGGCTTAAAAGATTCGTCTCGCAAATTAGTCGCAAACTATGTAATTAGTTTCATAATTAGTCTATATTTAATACTCCATGCATGTGTCCAAACATTCGATGGACAACGACTAAAATTTAGAAGGGGCAACCAAACACCACCTTATTCGGCGTATGTGAGCCTAGTAACAAACGTACGTACGCAGAGTCGTAGACGCAGGCACGCCGTAGCAGCGACTCCTCGGTCCTCATGACGACGCGAGACGTTTTGAGCCTTCGACTGCGAGTCGCGGAGTCAGTGACCGTTCATTCTCTTTCCTCTGCATACCACTGTGACTCTGCCGCTCTACGAGTCGCCAGCGGGTGGCGGGTAGCCAGGCAGGCTGCAGGCAGGCACGACCGCACGTGAACGAGTGAGATTGAACGTGAATACGTGATCCGCATAGGTATCTCCTATACGATCCCTAATTCCCTACTCCCCCATTCCTAAATATCTGTCGTTCTCGCTTTTCGAAAAATGATTTTGATTAAATTTATATAAAAAATATTAATATTTATGATACATAATTGATATCATTAGATATATCTTTTAATCTAGTTTTTAAATAAATTTATTTAGAGATACAAATGTTGCACGTATTTTCTACAAATCTAATCAAATTTGTGGCATGAAAACCGAAAACGACAGATAATAAGGGACAGAGAGAGTATTCCCTAACCATGAACTGCCGGCCGCTAAGGTAAAGATTAATCATTGATTCAGATTTCACAGGCCCGGACGGACATCATTTGGAATTTCAGATTTGCAAATTGTTTAATCTTTGACTAATTGTTTCTGTAAATTTTAACGGTGCCATGTCATGTCATCAAGAAAGTATGCTTCTGACAATGACAAAAGAAAGAAGAAAACACGAATAGATGTTTTGATACAATAACAGAGAGGGGCTTTTCATAAATTTCTTAACAGATGATTTGAGATGTAGAGAAACCAGCTAACGCTAATCCAGAAGATCCAAAGGTTAAATGAATTGGCAACATTAATCATTGAGAAGCGATTGTTGGAGATTGATATTGACACCATCATCAAGGTCTTCGCATCGAGGAATGTCAGAAGAAAATTTTGAGGTAATTTAATATGTATACAAATTATTTCATATGAATATTGCTTTTGCATTCAGTTAACTGTTTATTACTAACATTTTGTATATTTGTGTATATATACTAGCCATAAATAGTATTAGTATTATCATGTTTATATAAAAAGATGCAAAATTTTAGTTTCGTTCTGGGTCCGAAAAATCTCAGGACCGGCCCGCGGTCATGCTGCCGGCGGTGAGCGTGTCGTCAGGCTCGGTCTCGGTGTCGTCGGCGCGGAGCATCCCGGAGCTGTACGAGGAGAGGGGAGCCAGCACCCTCCGTGAGTTCGGGTTCCGGGAGCTCCGGACCGCTACCAGCGACTTCAGCCGCCTGACCAAGGTCGGCGAGGGCGGCTTCGGGAGCGTTTACAAGGGCGTTGTTCGGCTACCTGGCGGGCCCGCCGGCGGCACGGTGGTTGCCATCAAGAAACTCAATCCCAATGGTCATCAGGTATGGTCGTATGGATCGGTGGTATCTTGGCTCAATTTGTCTTGGTTGATCACGAATTCATCAGCATTTTACAGTCTATTGCTTGCCATTTACATTCGACTACAGCCCCTAGAAATTTTTAGAGTTATCTACATCCCCTAGAATTACAATGAGACTCTGTTTTTGGTTCATGAAATGGACCGTACCTTGCATAACTGTGTAGAATTCATTTCACTGATGGCTTTGTGAAGCCTAACGCTACCATGCAATCTGCAAACGCAGCATACTATGTGTGATAAACATGGTGATGCTAGCACTATTTCATTTCAGAAGTTCAAGGTTATCTCATTCTGGCATATTCATCTGCATCCAAGTCTCAAGAGTTTTCTGTTCCTGCTCCCGACTTGATCAGGGCCACAAGCAATGGTTGGCAGAAGTACATTTCCTGGGGTTGTTGACCACCCAAATCTCGTCAAGCTCATTGGGTACTGCGCTGCTCGAAGCGAGCGAGGTCCTCAGAGGCTACTGGTCTATGAGTTCATGACGAACAAGACCCTGGATGATCATCTATTCAATAAAGCATACCCCGTCCTTCCATGGGACATCAGGTTGGAGATAGCACTGGATGCCGCTGAGGGATTGCTGTACCTCCATGAGGGATTAGAAGTTCAGGTATCAGCTCGGTACTCCACAGATAAATAAGGTTATCCTGAACCCTACTGAATAACTTGGATTAGATTGCATGAGAACGGGCATGCGTATAAAGTGAACTAATAACTGATTTGCACATCACAGGAAATGTCACAAGCGCAATTTTTTGTAATATGGTAACCTATCTAAAATGCAGAATAACTTTTCTTTACGAGTAACCTATCTAAAATGCACAATAACTTTTCTTTGAGAGTGATAGATTAGGTTACATGAGAAAGAGCATGCAGTATAAATTGAACAAATAACTGATTTGCACACCACAGGAATGTTACAAGCACAAAATTTGTAGTATGGTAAATGTCGCTTCGGCCCCGCGTCGCCCCCACGCAGGCAACACGGGAGGCGACCCAAACCCTAGCCGCCTCTCTTCCATCCCTCCCTCTCTCCAGCCGCGCCGTCGCCGGAGCAGGCCGCCGGCATGGCCGTGCAGCTTGCCGTGAGGGCGGCGGCGAGGCTCTTCTTCGCGGTGGAAGCTGCGACGGTCGGGGACGAACTCGCGTCCTGGGGCTCGGTGGGGTCGCTGGGGCAGGTGGTGGTGCCGGCGTCTCCAGCGCCTGTCTGGGGCGGCCTCCTCGCTTCGGCGTCCGGATCCGGCGGTCCGACGGCCGGATTCGCGCGGATCTCCGGCGGGCCACGCCTGGGCGGACGCTGGGCGGCGTTGGCGGCGGCTCCTGTCCAAGACGCCGCGGATCCGCGGGTTCGGCGCTTGTGGTGGCGGTTGCGTCGCCCAGGGCCGGGTCTCGTCCTCTTCCTCGAGCTTGGTGGCGGCGTGCGCAGTAGCGGGGCGTGCCCTCGCGCGAGCCGCGTGGGGCTCGGCGGGTCCGCCTGCTGCGGTTGCGGCGCTGGCCAGTGCCCGTGCTGGCACCGGGCGGTGGCGGGGGCCCTTTCTTCCTCCTCCGCTTCCCCCTTTTCCTCCTCACCCTTGGCGGGGAGGTGGCGGCACCAGCCGGGGTCACTGGGTCTGGCGCCCTGATGGCCAGATCCGGTGCCCCCAGGGCAGGGGACGGCGCCCGAGGTGGGGCATGCGCCTGTCGGTGGCTGGCAGAGGTCGGCAGCGTCGACGGCGGGTGCTTGTGCCGGCGACGACAGCTGGCGACGGCTTCGGCGTGCGGCAGGGTGACGCGCGTGGCAGGGTAAGTCCACCTCTGCATGTTGCCCGGTCGGAGGGGGTGGCGGCCGACGCAGCTGTGTGGCTGCTGTGAGCAGCCGGCGCGTCGATGCCCTCTGGAGGGGCTTCTGCGGGATGGCGGTGACGACGACGGTGGCGACAGGCTACGGTACGGCATCTTGGCTCGACGTTGTGCTAGGGGCACCTCGGGCGAAAGCCTTGGCGACGGCAACGCCTGTGGGCGCCGTTTTCCTTGTTGGGGGCGTCGTGTTCTTGTGCCCCCAGCCATGTCTTCCACGGGTGGAAACCCAGTCCATTCCTAGACAAGCGACGGCGGCACTATCTGCATCGTACCCTTCCTGAAGGCGTCGCTGTGGAAATTCGTCTCGGCCGTGATGTCTCCTTCGGCGGATGTCCTCTGCCTCTTCGGCGCCCTGTTGACGCGAGACGGCGAGTTCTGCATTGGGAAGTCGGAGCTGCTGCATCAGGGGATGTAGCTCGGCAACGATGACGCGGGTCGAACCCTCCTTCTCCGACGGCTAGGTTTCAGCTTTAGAGTCTCGGCAATCGCCGCGGGCGGGGTGTGGGATCATGGCAGGAAGTCGGAGCTGCTCTTCGCGGAGCAGTTGAGCACGGCAACGATGACCTGTTGCAGCCTCCTGCTTCGGGCCCGTTGGTCTGATATCTTAGGATGGGTCGTCGGGGTTTTGCCATGGGAAGTCGGAGCTGCTGGCTGCTTTGCAACCACGCTCGGCAACGATGACTTACGGTAGTGTGTACTCTACCGCGTTGCGTGGATGGGCTAATGTTTCGCGATGTTTGGCACCACACTTGGTTACCTTTGCTTGTATATAAACTTCATTCGTCTTAATTGAAAGGCAGAGCTCCTGCCATTGTTTCAAAAAAAATGTTGCATTGTGATAATCCATACCGAATCATATCTAAAAATGCTGAATGTAGTAATCCGCACTGAATCACTGGACATTAATAATAGATCTCTCATAGATCAGGTCAAAACTTGGGCTTGCACATTCATACATTCTTGGAAATTGAAATATTTGTGTTATGAGTTATCTGTTTTTTCACATTCTGAAACCTTGGATTGTTCATATTCTTGGATTAGACAATGTTATTGAGTGATCATGTTGATTGAATGCGAACGTGGTTAAGAGAAACATGTTCTATAAATATCATTTTCTGCTCTGTGCATCTTCCCTTGACAATCAAGTTAGTCAATATGATTTGATTTTGTTTCCAAAAAAAGAATGAGAGATATTTGTGTTTCGTCATTACAGGTCATATATCGCGATTTCAAAGCTTCAAATGTCCTGCTGGACGAGGAGTTTAGAGCAAAACTTTCAGATTTCGGACTGGCAAGGGAAGGACCATCAGCTGGTGATACCCACGTCTCTACAGCAGTATGTGTTGATTTTACTTCATAGAACAGAACAAGATTATTTAATTTATGTTTGGTCATGTTACAGAATTTTGCTCTATTGAAATCTTATGCTATATCCCAATGAAAATAATTATGCAATCAGATTATGGGGGACCTCGGGCTATGCAGCTCCAGATTATGTTGAGACAGGCCATCTCACTACAAAGAGTGATGTGTGGAGCTTTGGAGTAGTTCTATATGAGATCCTCACTGGACGACGCTCAATGGAGAGGAACCGTCCCAAGAACGAGCAGAAACTTCTGGAATGGGTGAGGCTGTATCCTGTTGGTCCCGAGATCTCCCGCACAGATGAGTTGACCGCTCACCGTCGTTGTCGACCACACACTATAGCTTGAGGTAGAAGAGGGAGGGAGAACAGAGCGCGCGCACACACAGCACAAGCACTAGCGTTGGCCGGAATTCTGTAGAGGAGATGGTAAAACTGAACTCTCGCTCTTTACTGAGTTGCAGTGTGAAGCTATATATACAACTCTACCCATATAATCCTAATACACAGACATGTCAGGCTGCTACAGTGACTAGATATGACAGCAGGGCTGAGTTTGACGCCTGCCCCTGCTGTGGTTACAGTACGGTAGGGGAGCCTTTCGGCGTCTACCCCTGCCGCGACTACAGTGCAGCAGCAGGGGAGCCCTTTCGACGTCTGCCCTGCCGCGCATACAGAGGGAGAGCAGCAGATTACTGTACATATCCTGTTGAAAGTAAGCAATTCAGCAAGATTATAGATAAAAGGCATGAGGGCCACTACTCTAAGCAGGGCGCTAGAAAAATTGCCAAGTTGGCCAACAGCTGCCTTGCAAAGCAGAGAAGGGATCGTCCAACCATGAGAGAAGTGGTCGAGAGCCTGAAGCAAGCAATGCAGCACAAGGAGTTAGATGGGAAAACAGGGAGTTTGGGTGAGACTTCACCACCAGAGGAAGTATCTGGAAAACCAACCCCAGAGGATGTTGCCGTGGCATCTGCAAGGCGGAGGATGCTTCATCTGGCTGCCCTAGGTGAGAATGCAAACAGCATTGTGAGGAGATTTATGCTCATGAGGACTGCGGCTACTCCAACTCCTACATAATTTTGAGTTGTAGTTGTGATCGTTTTTTTTTACTCTACTTTTTTAAGTGGTTATGATTTATGAATATAGGATCGTTGGTGATGTTTTCATCATGTCAGTGTAAATCTATTAGGTGACCAAACATTCTTTTTTTTACTTGTGTGCTTTCTATAGGTAGGGTAGATCTGAGACTCAAGAGTTACTATTGTAAATGTTTCGTTGCTATAAAGGATCATAGGTGTGAAATGTAATTCAGTTCTCTATGTTTGACTGCAACTTTGAACATTGTAAAAGTAGATAGTATTAAAGGTGCCAAATTCTTCTTTTCCATACTGGATTTTGCCTTTTACCATTGACTGATAGTTCTATAGTGGCTAGCGGTATTTTTAAGGCCCGCTGTTTTAGACTTTAATGTATGAAATACATGTTGTGCACTATTTTTTTACTGCATGATTTCAGCTTGTAAAGTTAGGATCATAGCAGTTTCTTTCTTTTCCTACTCGTGTAACATAAATTATAACCGTGAGCATGTAGCCTGAGTTGTTACACGTATTAGTTTCCTTTCCCGGTAGGATCCCATGTGCAAAATGTAATTCCTATAGTGCTGATCCAGAAAATTATTATGATGTTATTTCAAACTTTATTGGTGCCGTTCGGCTGACATTAAAAGGCGGCTGTTCGGCTTCTTTTTTCAGTCGGAACAGTGTTTTTCAGCCAAATTCAGCCAAGCGAACGGGGCCACAAATGTACCTTCAAGAGTTTTGACTTATTAGTGGGTCAAACCTTTACTTCGTACAAGTTCCTAAAGAAACGAATCAAATGCAGTCTTCTGCTAGTGTACATTTGATTTTTTGGATTTCCTACAGAACATGTACTAAGCACAAGAAAGGGAATTTTTTTATTGAAGATGCTGTACTTAAATCTTGATCAAAGAGTTACATCATACAGTACATATTGCAACAAAGCTGCAAGTTCTTGAACAAACAATTTTATTTTGCTGATAGAAACTGGCTTGATCCCTTACTGACCTTCAGTATATGGCCACCAGGCAATCATTTTTCTGCATTTGGGAAAGCTGAGCCAGTCTTGTTATCCCCCAACCTGTAGCACTTGATATTCGCTGAATATTGGCCGCCAATATCTACATGGTTATCTTCCCCTCCAGCAAAGAAGCAGAGAGTGTGTAGTGCAATTTCAAACTCGGGACTGCCACCAATCAATGTGCTGGATACAGATATTAAAACTCCATGCCACTCAAACTGAACGATGAGCAGTTGTGTTTCAGAGTTTGGCAGGGAACAACTAAAAAAGTTTAGCTCCGTTATGACATATCACATATGTGTACAAGTATATTGGGATGGTACTAACCAACTCCACACGCCTCATTGGGAATATGTACCCTTGGTAATCAACATTGGCATTGGATTCTTCCAGGTAAAACAGCACATTAGTCTCCAACACCATCATAATCTCACTCAAATACGGAAACAAACAAAATTATGACGCTGCAGCACTACAAGAAGTCAGGAACTTGCCTGAATCTGTGGAAGCCTGATACTTCAGTCTCGCCTTGCCTCTGCCCCTTGATCTCTCCAACAAACACATGTTCAAAGGCAGAAGAACTACTAGAGGTCTAGAGCAGCCACCTCTTCCACACAAATCAAACCACAGGGATGTCAGCATTGTCTTGAAGTCCTCATAGTCCTGAGACGTGGCCTCCTTCACCACCAAATACTGATGCAAGTACTTGATTGGATCACTTCTTGAAATCTCCTCAATAAAAGCAGCTTCTTCATGCTCCTCCTGCTGGGTGACTGATTCGTGTATCCTTGGTGGGGGTTGTAGTTATCAAGGAGTGCACAGAAACGGGAGTACATAGGCCTCCACAGTACACTCTCTTCCAGCCAGCTGAACAGATTTTAGGTGCCTTGTTGCCTTTATGATAAACCTTCTTCCCTTCACCGCATTGAACTGTGTAGTCCTTCCCAGGAGTGAGGCGGTTTAGATCAAGTTCCCATAGCCGACCGCATGCTTTTGATAATTTGTTGAGTTCCTCCCTGGTAGGCTCAACGTTTAGGCCACGGTGGATATGACTGACATCCTCAGAGTATTCTGGCTCAGATGGTAGTCTTGTATATCCCTTCCATTGGTCAGAGTGCTTCACAGAGTCAATAGAAGTTTAGAATTCAGAAAAGAAGAAAATATTAATATGGCCACCACATAATCAGACTTCTCTATGAGGATGCAAGACTGCATGTTGCAGGCTGTTATGCTGCTGCTTCCCTGTGTGAACGTATGGCAGGGGGCAGGTGTCGAAAATGGCTCCCTGCTGCTGTACTGTAGCCGTTGTAGGGCAGGCGTCGAAAGGCTCCCCTGCTGCACTGTAGCAACAGCAAGGACATGCGCCAAAGTCAGCCCTACTGTCACATCTAGTCACTGTAGCAGCATGGTAGCCTGACATGTCTGTGTACTAGGATTAGATGGGTAGAGTTGTATATATAGTTTGCCACTGCAACTCAGTAAAGAGAACGAGTTCAGTTTTGCCATCTACTCTGCAGAACTCCGGCTAACGCTGGTGCTTGTGCTGTGTGAGTGCGTGCTCTGTTCTCCCTCCCTTTTTCTACCTCTAACCAAAGTGTGTGGTCGGCAGCGCTGGTTAGTGGTCGGCTCACCCGTGCTGGAGATCAAGAGGCCAACAAGTGGTATCAAAGCCATACAAGCGCCGTCGTCGACTAACCGATGGCGATGACGGAAGGTTTGAAGATGGACGACAGCAGCGGCGCTGCTGTGGCTGCCCAGCCACGACAGGAGATCGTTGTGCGCATGGTGCGGGAGGTCAGCGGCACCAGTTGGCCGACGCCAGTTGGTGCGAGTCAGCGTTGACCATGAAGGTCAAGCTCAGAGCCCGATGGCTCTGGAATGTTATTGACAAGGGCACCAACAGCGAACAAGACGACATGTCAACGTTGAAATCTATCATCGCTGCTGTGCCAGTGAAGTACAGGGAGCCGTTGGGGGCAAAGAGCTATGCTAAGGAGGCGTGGGAGGCCATTGCGGCGATGCGCGTTGGTTCCGATCGCGCAAAGAAGGCGACGGCCCAGCTGCTGAAGCAGGAGTACGCCAACCTCAAGTTTAAGGATGGTGAATCGGTGGAGGACTTCTTCCTCCGTCTGCAGACGCTCATCAGCAAGCTGAGGAGCCACAATGTCACCATCGACGAAGAAGAGGCGGTCTCCAAGTACCTCCACTCTGTGCCGGCGAAGTACATCTAGATTGCTCTCTTCATATAGACGATGCTGGACTTATCCACCCTCACCATTGAGGATATGACAGGTCGTCTACGGGGGGTGGATGAGCGCATGGAGCAGGCCACAATGTCGAAGGACAGCGGCAAGCTGTCGCTGACAGAGGAGGAGTGGGCTGCTCGGAGGAACTCCGGGGAAGCCTCCTCCAGCCGTGGAGGCGATGGCAAGCGCCGCGGCAAGGCTTCTTCGGAGAAGAAGAAGAAGAAGGTCGACCCCAACGCCTACCAACACTGCGGGAAGATGGGCCATTGGACAAAGAAGTACCCAAATCGCAAGCAGGAGAAGAAGGTTGAGGCTCATCTAGCGCAGGCTGATGATGATGATGAGGCCACTCTCCTGATGGCAACGTTTTGTGCACTGCACGACGTTGAGGCCAAGGAGAAGGGAGAGGTGATGGTGGTGAAAGGGTCTGGGAAGGCTCTGAAAGCTGGCTATCTCGACGAACCGCGCGCCCAAGTCCACCTCAGACGTGTGGGCGGCGAGCAGGAGCAGCGGTGGTACCTGGACTCCGGCTCCAGCAACCACATGATGGGCTCCAAGGCAGCCTTCTCCGAACTCGACGACGACATGACCGGCACGGTGGAGTTTGGCAACGGCTCAAGGGTGATGATCTAAGGGCACGGTACCATCATCTTCAGGTGCCATAACGGCGAGCACCGCGCACTAATGGATGTATATTACATCCCACATCTACGTTCAAGCATCATCAACATTGGCCAGCTGGATGAGCGGGGCAGCGAGGTACTGATCAAGGACGACGTCCTCAGGATCAGGAACCGGGAGCAACGCCTTCTTGCCAAGGTGAAGAGGTCCCGGAACCGGCTGTACCTGCTCGACTTGAAGGTGGAGTAGTCGGTGTGCCTGGCAGCACAGCACACTGAGGAGCCGTGGCTGTGGTATGCCCGGTTCGGCCATCTCAGCTTCGACGCGCTTGGTCGGCTGGAGAAGATGGTCTGAGAGCTGCCCCACATCAAGCACGTAGGCAAGCTGTGTGACAACTATTTGGCCGAGAAGCAGAGGAGACTGCCGTTCCCAAAGGCGGTCAAGTATCGTGCGGCGGACGCTCTCGCGCGGCGGACGCTCTCGAGCTCGTCCACGGCGATCTCTATGGGCCAATCATGCCAGCCACAAATGGTGGTCGGTGGTACTTCCTCCTGCTCATGGATGATTACAGTCGCTATATGTGGCTGCAACTCCTGACGAGCAGGGACGAGGCAGCGGAGGCGATCAAGAAGTTCAAGGCGCGCGCGGAGGCGGAGAGCGGCAAGAAGCTATGCGTGCTGTAGACTGATCAGGACGGTGAATTCACTTTGGTGGAGTTCGCTGCGTACTACGCAGATCAGGGTGTGGTGCGACACCACACCGCGCCGTACTCACCACAGCAGAATGGTGTGGTGGAGCGGTGGAACCAGACGGTGGTCGGCATGGCTCGATCCATGATGAAGGCCAAGAGCATGCTAGCAAGGTTCTAGGGTGAGGCGGTGACCACGGCAGTGTTCATCCTCAACCGTGCGCCCACCAAGGCCCTAAAGGGCAAGATGCCGTTCGAAGCTTGGTATGGGCGCAAGCCGAGCGTGTCCTTCCTCCGGACATTCGGCTGCATCGGCCACGTTAGGATGATGAAGCCGGTCCTCACCAAGCTGGAGGACAGGAGCACACCGATAGTGCTCCTAGGCTACGCGGAAGGTACCAAGGTGTACCGGCTCTACGACCCAC